TCTTTAAACTAAATATCTCTAGTCCCTTTTAGTGCGCCTTAAAGTTTGATTCAGTTGGAGGGACTTCTTTAAGAAGAAAAAACATGTATCAAAAACAAGAATAAAGAATGGTTAATAACTACATTCCTATCAACAAGTACCTCAAATAGAAAAGAATTAAGTGCTCCGAAGAAAAGATACAGCAGCTAAATGGAAAAGAAAACAAGACCCCTATATATGATGCCTACAAGAGACTCATTTCAGATTTAAAGACACACAGACTAAAAAGAAGGGGATGGAAAAAGATCCTGCCCTGATGGACCTAGAGGGTATTACGCTGAATGAAATAAGTCAGATAAAGACAAATATCATGATTTCATGTACACGTGGAATCTAAAGAGCAAAATAAACAACAACAAAAACAAACGTATAGATACAGAGAATATTTTGAGGGCTACTAGATAGGAGAAGAATTGGGGACGGCAACAAAAAGAGCAAAGGGATTAAAAAGCACAAATGGATAGTTACAAAACAGACATGGAGATATAGAGTGTAGCATAAGGAAAATAGTTAATAATGTTGTAATAAATATGTAAGGAAAAAGAGGGGTACTAGATTTAGTGAGGTGATCACTTTGTGAGTTATACAGATCTCTAATCACTATGCTATACAACTGAAACTAATATATTATTGTATGCCAACTATAACTGAAATAACCTCACCGAATTGCACAATGTAAATCCGAGCAATTAACTGTCTATTACATTTCAATAAAGCCGGAAAAAAATTTTTTTTGATTCATATCCTTGCTATCCAGGTTGCTCTGCTTTGAACAATCTCTACTTTTCAATACTCCTTTATAACTGGTTCCATACAATATAACAGATATGGTAAGATTATAACTGAGCATACTTCAGTACTTTTACCTTCCTGTTCTGGACACAAATATTATTAAGACTAAATCAGGCATTCTTTAAAAAAATTTATTTTACCTTTTAAGTTTAATGGGGTAACACTGATTAATACAATTATATATTTTCAGGTGTACATTATAATTTGACATCTATATATTCTATTGTGTGATTACCACCCAAAGTCCAGTTTCCTTCAGCTATATTTGATCTCCTTTACCCACTTCACCCTCCTCCATCCCCCAAAATGACCCCCTTTACCCCAGCTATTTCTTCCCTCCTCCCCCACCCCCATCCTCTAAATTAGGTATTCTGACAGTCAAATCATATCAATGATTTTGTTTACATCAACAGTAACTGACTTACTAGATGTGAGGCACTCTATTACGTGAAGGGAAGAACACAAGTACAAATAAAATATTGTCCTTGACCTCAATAAGCTGACAGTATTTATGAAGACATAAGTGTCTAAGACTACAAGAGGTGTTGCAGTGTTATGTGAAAGCAACGAATGGAATAATTAATTCTCAATGTGCAAGGTGGAAGAGGGCAAGGCATAATGAAAGTAAAATTTTGCCAGGTGATGAAGCAGAAGTGAGTTCCAGGCTACCATGGGATGAGCTTCTTTTCCACATGATCCCAGTGAGGGCTCCATTCTGATGTGCCTCCTTGTACAATGTGTGTACTGTACCAGCAACTTGTTGTAAACAGGCACTATAAGATATTCTAAAGTGAGCATGCAGAAGGCAATGTCAGTTCAAGCATCAAACAATCCATTATACAAATGTCCCTTCAAATGTTCTATGTAGGTAAATGTATATGGTGAAGGAGAAAAGAAAAATAAACTCTAAAGATTTCCAGCTGAATCAATGTATAAAGGTCATTGAATATTCTAATATGAGAAGACAAAATGATCAATCTGAGACTCTTCCCTGTCTGAATCACATGATAGAAAGGATAAAAGGAATAATATTCTATGCTAAGACAGCCAGGCAAGGTCTCTGAAAGTTATCTTGACCATAACCAGAACTA